TATATAATATATATATATATATATATACACACATATATATTAAAAGTGCTGTACTTCAAAACTATTTTAAAGCAAACATCAGTTATATTGTAGAACAAAAGTTGAAAGTCTGTTGAAGTAAAACATAAGAACATTTTTGTGAATATAATCTTTTATTTACTCTAGAATTATGCAAGAAATGTACACATTTTTATCTCAAGGTATAAATTTTTTTCTTAAATAAGCAGTTTTCCATTCATACGTTTGCAGATGCATTAATCATTTGTCACAAACCCTGAAGAGAGCAGCGACACCAAACGAAAGTAAAAAGAGTTCGCGATACAAACCCAGCGACGGTGACCTGATTTGAGGCGAGGAAGTATTGCTCTGCGTTTGCCGTATAGAAGCCGAGTTCTCTGTCTTCTGTCTGACACAAAATAAGCATTGTTTTCAATTATATATAGATATGTACATAAAAATATATGCTCTAGTTGAAAAGGGCCTTGGTTGAAGCTATTGGTAATGGGTTATTGAACGTGTGCCGCTGACGCAGACTGATGACATCACATCCGGGCGTCCACGGCGGGCGGAGCTGGACTCCAGTGCACTGACGAACCTGCGAAATAAAGCACAGTTCAACATCAGGCTTTCTGACAATCTACAAATGGAGAACATTTCCAGTGAGGGTTGTGTTTTGAGTAAGTACAGTACAGTTTGTACAGTATAAAAACCATTATGTCTATGGGAAGTCTCCTTAAAACAAAGAAACGTGTGTGTGTGTGTGTGTGTGTGTGTGTGTGTGTGAGTGTGAGTGTGTGTGTGTGTGTGAGTGAGCGTGAGTGTGTGTGTGTGTGTGTGTGTGTGTGAGTGTGAGTGTGCTGGATTAGTTTCAGCTTTTGTCTTCTCCAGATGTTAACTGATGGACTGGAGTGCTGTGGATTACTTGTGGATTATTGTGATGTTTTTATCAGCTGTTTGGACTCTCATTCTGACGGCACCCATTCACTGCAGAGCATCCATTGCTGAGACACTGATGCAATGCTGCATTTCCCCAAACCTGATGAAGAAACAAACTCATCCTGATCTCGGATGATGCATTTACAGCACTATTCCTTCACGATTTATCAGTGAAACGCCATGTAAACATGATTTTTCCTTGTTATATAGAGCTCCATAGAGCTTTAATTCATTCAATACAATAAGCTGCCATATTCAATTACAAGTTAATGCCATAAAAACACTTTTATCTCTCTGCGTGGATGTTTTTCCTCAGTAATTTTGCCTAATACATGGAACATATTTACAAGCACAATTAAACCTATCATCATAAAAAGTGTTTTTAATTACCTCAGGAAACACAAATCATCTTTCACACGCAGAGTGTTGAAAAAATAACAAAATACAACGCTTTTAAGCTCTAATGAGCGTCCATCACAGGAATAAAGAGAGAGCTGTAATTTGCATCTTCATTAGCAGAAGCTTTTCACTTACGCTGAGATCTCAGGATAAAAGGGGTAATTAACACAAACTGCCCCACAATTTAAGAGTTTGCCTGAAAGTGCAAGCATTAATTAAACATTCACAGGGGTACAAACACACAGAGTTTGGGGGCTAAAAACGGCTCGCTATTATAAAGCAGCTTAATCTACTTTTTAAGACCTTTCTTAAGACTTGCACAAATAAAATGAATACAGTCTCAAAATTATCAGGTTTCTCAAATTCTTTTATTTAATTTAACAGGCAGCAGCAAAATCAACTGCAAAACAGGGAACTGCAAGTTTAAAAACCCAAGACATGTTTTATTCAATATTTACATGTGCACTGAAATTGGTTTATTGGTTTAATGAAGTCGAGGTCCATCGATATTGAATTTTACTAATATGTGATAATGCATTTAAAGAAACGCAATGAAAATATTATTGTGCATATACTGAATGTGTTCAATAATGTTCTTAGTCTTTCTGTCCTGTGACGGGGCGGTTCAGAGAGAAACTACAAGAGTTTACATTGCTTTAAATGCCAGATACTGTTTATTGTGTAACCAAAATACCAATAATAGCCAGGGAAAAAAAAGATTTTATGCACAATGGGAGACTTCTAATCATAAACGAGCTTGAAATACAATGGGACTCTTATTTTGAAAAGTCTTCACTTTACTATTTTTAGCTGCTCGTTCAAAAAAAGAAAAATGGGAACTGAAATACCAATAATAACCAAAAATAAAAAGATTTTTTTTATATGGTGAGGAACTTTTAATTAAAACGAGCATGAACTACACTTGGACTCTTATTTTGAAATGTCTATGCTTTACTACTTCTAGCTGCTCATTCAAAAAGATGAGAGAAATATGGGAACCAAAACACCAATAACAACCAAAAATAAAAAGATTTTATGCATAATGAGGGACTTTTAATCCAAAAAAGCCTGCAATACACTGAGACTCTTATTTTGAAATGTATACGCTTTACTACTTCTAGCTGCTCATTCAAAAAGATGTGACATAAAATATGCATCTTACAACCATCTACAACGCGCATCTAAACATGTTCTAAGTTTGGATGGTTGGGAGAAATCAAATTCATCAAATACTCAGTTGATTTAAATACTTAAATCAAGCAGATACTGTACAAAATTCTTTTTTTTGTACAATACAAATACACTTTGTACAATATTTGTAATTCCTTGTGTAATTGTTTCTGCTTAGAAAAATAAAAATATATATTCTGTGCATTTATATTACCTACACATTTTCCTCATTAAAGGTGTCATATGATGCTGCTAAAAATAACATTATTTTGTGTATTTGGTGTAATGAAATGTGTTTATGCGGTTTAAAGTAAAAAAAAACATACTGTACATTATTGTTTCTCCTCTATGCCCCGCCTTTTTGAAACGCGTCGATTTTTACAAAGCTCATCGGTCTGAAAAAGCGAGGTGTACTGTGATTGGCCAGCTATTTTTGCCCCACTGTATGTGGGGGCGTGTTCGAACGAGCCGTTTTAGGTAGGTGTGGCTAACTCTTAACTTTTATAAAGAATATCTCTTTGGATTTGAGACTTTAGTCTTTGCAACTTTACAGATCTTCTTTATGCACCAAGAGCTTGTAACACTCTAAAGAGAAAGGAAAAAATGAAATCGCATCATATGACCCCTTTAAATCTTGTCAAAATTAGTGCTGTCAAACGATTAATCGCGATTAATCGTTTCTGTTTATATAATATGTGTGTCTGTACTGTGTATATTTATTATGTATATATAAATACACACCCATGCATGCATATATTTTGAAAATATTTACATGTATTTACATGTATGCATTTATAATCAGATAATTTATATTATATATAAATATATTTAATATATAAACATATAATATTTTTCTTAAATATATACATGCATGTGTGTGTATTTATATATATACATAAATATACACAGTACACACATATATTATGTTAACAAAAACTTTTATTTTGGATGCGATTAATCGCGATTAATCGTTTGACAGCACAAATAAAAATTTAAATAATTCAAGAAAAAAGCAACATGGTGTTGAGATAAAAACAAATAAATGACTAAAATCACAACACACCAGTGTTATTAGTAACATTAAAGTTTTTATTAATATTTAGAATTAGTTTTAATTAGATTTTTTCCATTTCATATTAATCTTAGTAATTTTGTTGTGCATTTTTGTCTTTTTTAGGGTTTTTTAAGTCAGTGTTATTTTAGTATAATTGAGGTATTATTATAGTTTTTTTATATTTATATAGTTTTAATATTATTTTTTCCATTTTCATGTTAATTTTAGATAAAGTTAGGTTAAAGTTTTTTAGATTTTTTTATTTAGTGTTATTTTAGTGTAACTGAAATACTATTATAGTTTATTTATATCTTGAGTTTAATTTTTATATTTTATGTTTTCACTTTATTTTAGCTAGTTTTAGTAATTGTGTTGTGTGTTTTTGTCATTTTTATTAGTTTTTTTTTTTTTTTTTAGTTTTTATTTCAGTTTTAGTTTTAGTTATTTAGAACTGGAAATGAGAAATGAGAAAATAGCTGAAATAAAATAATTGTAATTTTTGATGTTTTAATCAGTTGACGTTTATTTTATTTCAAGTAACAAAAATATTTGTTACGGTTTTAGTTTACTATAATAACACCGTTTTAAATGTCTATATAGTCTATATGTATATAATATATATATATAGTCTAATATAACATTTATATATATTTCCATTTTAATTTTAGTACAAGTTATGCTAAATGAAAATGAGAAAATAGCTAAAATATTTTTTAAATATTTTATTTAATTTCAGTTAAAATTTATATTTTATTTCAAGTAACAAAAAATGTTATGCTTTATTTTTAGCTTATTTGTAACTATACTAACCTGCAGCACCTAGGTCTTGCATGCGATTTTTTTCCAAATAACACTAAAAAACACACTGTGAGAAATTAATGAGAAAAGCTTCATACATACGATCCATCCTCATCAACATACACAAAGCAAAGCAACCCTACGGACAAAAACGGCTCCAGCTCATCTAAATGAAAAGAAACATCCTCTCGATTCTGAGGACAGACTCATTTATCTTACAAACACACCAGTGGAATTAATGCAAATGCTATTGGTTTCTGTGCGCTCGCTAATTTGTATTTAAATTGTGTTTTGTGTCGGAGCTCCTCTCGCGGCCGTCACCTCATAAACACATTCAGTCCCATCGAGAGACGAACAACATTTCAGCATCAGTTCACTGACGGACGGCGTGGAGACGCATGTCTTACTGACCTTCATCTGTGTGATAAAATCAGCTCACAATCATCAACACATGATGCTAATGTTACTCATTTCACACACATGCACACTTACATATACATGTCTTAAAGGTACAGCAGCAAAAACAGTGTGTTTGTAAAGGTCAGAGAAGGTGAAGATAATCAAAATACTAAAATGCAAGAAGCCTAACTAACTCTAACTATCAGAGGCCATTCACACAGAATGTGTTTTTGCATTTAAAAACATGAGACGCAGGGCAATGGAATAAAATATAAAGAAAATAAATCTTTAACTTATATCAAGTTCTGGCTCAATCTGACCCACAACACATTTGTGAGATGCTGGGAATACTGGATGTTTTTCTTGGAATTATGTGACTTTTTTATTTAGGGTGATTTACATTATATTATTTTAAACGAGTCTACCCCACAAGATTACTGTTATAAACATGAGCCGCGTCTAAAAGCTAAAGGGGGAGGTGTTGCTACAATTTATAACAATATTCTCAGTATTTCTCAGAACTCTGGTTTCAAGTATAACTCGTTTGAAGTAATGGTGCTTCATATAACATTATCCAGAGAAACAAGTGTTAATGATAAATCTCCTGTGATGTTTGTAAGGAAAGTACTTCTACTTATAGAAAAGCATTAAAAACTGCTAGATCTGCTTACTTTTAGTCTCTCTTAGAAGAGAACAAACACAACCCCAGGTATTATTCAACACAGTGGCTAAATTAACGAAAAATAAAGCATCAACAGATGCAGAGATTTCCCAACAGCTCAGCAGTAATGACTTTATGAACTTCTTTACTTCCAAGATCGATACTATTAGAGATAAAATTATAACCATGCAGGGTTAGACAATTGTTTAAAAAAAAAGCTGTCAAATATGGTTTTTCATAGTGTGATTTTTGGTGAATTGTGCTGAATCCAGAACATGATGATCATACCCTGAATTTATATGAACATAATATAAGGGTTTTTAAAACAGCATATCATGCGCTTCAAAAACGCTCCACAACGGTCAAAGCTGTCCGTCTAATGCATGTTGACATAGAAAAACAGTGCAGAGCAATGTAAAACTGTGTGAAAACACCACATGATGTGCATTAGAGTTTTTATCATGGCAGAAAATAAAATAAACACAAGCTCTTGGAAATAAAGCCGTCGCACTAATTCCACCCAGTGGATATTTCTGATATTTTATTGCTCAGAGAGAGAAAGAGCTCAGTGAAGCAGCGAATGCAAAACAGCCCGACTGATTATTCAGGAAAGCATGTTTCTGTCAACGAACATCGTCTCAAAGAGCATCAGCATTCAGACGGAGCCGCGCCGGATTTCTGAGGAAGAACCAAAGCGATACGGTTAACGGTCCGACTGGAGAAACGGATCTCACTGACGGCTGGGTGGAATGAAGGAATATTAACTATTAATTCCCTTTAAAAAAGAATCAGAGGAAGATGATGATGATGATGAAGAGGCTGAAGTGATGTGACTCACCGCGTCTTAATGAGGCTCTGAATATTTGATGGCAGCGTGACCTCAGAGCCGGAGAGAGAGACACTCTTCTGCATGATTCCATCATCACTGATCTCTTCACAATCACACACGCTCTCTGATTACTGATGCTCATATGTTACCGTCAACACGCATGTGCTGCGGTGATGCTACTGTAAACAGGACTTGATGCTGCAAAAACCATGTTGATAAAGTCAGTTATAGAGGTCTTGGGCCAGTTATCTAAACTGCTTAGACTAGTGTTAAAAAGTTAGTCATCTAATTTGTTTTCTTCAAGACTGGTCATAACTATTTAAAGTCAATTACAAAAAGGTAGATTGACCCGATTTGAATAAAGAAAATAAGGTTGATTACCTCTTGGCTTACTGCTAGTTGGTAAAACTAGTTTGTAAGACACAGTGCTATGTTTATGCAACCGGCCCTTGAGCTGCAGCACAAATAAGACACTTAAAGGAATAGTTGAGGTAAAAATTAACATTAGCTGGAAATGTGTTCACCCTCAGATCATCAGAGATCAGGATGAGTTTGTTTCTTCATCAGGTTTGTAGAAATGTAGCACTGCATCAGTGTCTCAGCAATGGATGCTCTGCAGTGAATGGGTGCCGTCAGAATGAGAGTCCAAACAGCTGATAAAAACATTACAATAATCCACAAGTAATCCACAGCACTCCAGTCCATCAGTTACCATCTGGAGAAGACAAAAGCTGAAACAAACCCAGCATTAAGATGCTTTAATGTCTAAAATACGAGTCTATAATCCATAATAACGTGAAAAAGTGTTCTGGTGTGAATCAGGAGAGAAATCTGCACAGATCAAGCAGCGTTTAAACAGCTCTAAACTAATCTGTGAGAGAGAACTCTTCCTTCCTTCACTGGAGGAAGCGTTATTATGGATTATGGACTCAATGTATTTTAGTTAAAAGGTCTTAATGCTGGATTTGTTTCAGCTTTTGTCTTCTCCAGATGTTAACTGATGGACTGGAGTGCTGTGGATTACTGTGATGTTTTTATCAGCTCTCGTTCTGACGGCACCCGTTCACTTGCAGTGAGCAAGTGATGTAATGCTACATTTCTCCAAACCTGATGAAGAAACAAACTCATCCTGATCTAAGATTTTCATTTTTTGGGTGAACTATTCCTTTAAAATTCAGTAACATTATCTAACTGCACTGACGAAACTCGATCTGAATGATGACTCTATTGTCTTCTGCAGAAGTTGAATTTTGTATCATCCACACAGTTGTTTTCAGCTGCTCTGCAGTACTGAAGTCTTGCCCGGCCATCCTGTGGTTTATGGCGCTCTGTTTCTCACCTGTTTCTCTTCACGCCGCACTGTCCTCCATGTCTCGGCTGGATTCGGCGGCTCGCGCCAAACCGTCGGCCATCAGAGCGTCTTCCAGACTGCGCCGGGCCTGATGCACCTTCAGCTCCTGCTCCCTGAGGAGGAAGAGGATGAGAGCGGGATGAAGGCTCTGACCTCGCTTTATCTGTGCCTCCCCTCCCTGTCAATCAATCTCTAACCGCCGCCCCTCGCTCCTCCCTTAAAGGGAAAACGGGTTTTTGTTCTCTTTAGAGATGGAAGAGTGATGTACGGCGTCGACATACTGTCTAGACAGGAACCTGCATGTTTCCTTCACAGGAAAGAGAAATCCCAGAATGCATTTTGAACTATAAACAAACGAGAGAAAAGCACCAGTATCTAAGCATCTAATTAAAAACTCCTTCACAGATCACCGGCAAAAACCATCAGAAATAACAATTAAAGCATCACAGCCATGAGCTCATTAACATATCGACACATTAACAGTCAATCACAACACAGCTCATTTACATATTGCACTCTTAAAGGTACAGTACTGCGTAATATTAAGCTAATATTAGCCGATCATGTTGCTCCAAACCTATAAAGATGTTTTGAAAAATGTCTGTTTTTAATTTATTTTTTAGTGTTATATTTCTATACTACTAAAACTATGTAAACTATGTATGTTACTATGTAAAAATTTTAATTTGTTTAATTTTTTATAATTTTGTTATGTTCTGTTGTCATATTATATTTCTATACTACTATATTATTTTGAATTGTATTTGTAAAATGTTTAATTTGTTTAATTTTTTATAATTTTGTTATGTTCTGTTGTCATATTATATTTCTATACTACTATATTATTTTGAATTGTATTTGTAAAATGTTTAATTTGTTTAATTTTTTATAATTTTGTTATGTTCTGTTGTCATATTATTTAGGTTTAAATGATTTTTAATTTATGTAATTTTAGTGATTCGACTAATCTCATTTAGTTCAAGGCAAAAATTGTCATTTAATTTTCATTTTGGCATTTCGATTTTAATTTCATTTCTTTGATTAGTCGTCATTTTTACTGTTAGGCTTCATTTGCTTGTATTTCAGTTTGTTTTCATTTGTTTTCAGTGCGTAATCTTAGTGCTTCATCATTATTTCAGAAGGCAACATTTCTCATTTTTGTTTAAATTTCATTTCAATTTTAGTTTAACACTTAGTCATTTTGTTATGTGCTTTTGTCATTTTTAATAGTTAACATTTTACTGTTTAGGTTTATTTTATATTTATTTCAGTTTTAGTGAGTAATTTTACTTATTTTGGACTTATTTCAGTCCGTTTCCAAAGTAAAATTTCTCATTTCCATATACATTTCAGTTCTTAATTTCAGTTTTAGTTTAATCTTGTTTTAGATTATTTTTTTATAATTTTGATTTGTGCTTTTGTTATTTTTTATTATTAGTCATTTTTAGTATTTAGGTTTTATTTTATTTTATTATTATTTTTTTTTTAGTTCAGTTTAATTTGTATTTATTTTCAGTGTGGAATTTTAGTGTTTCAACTTAAAACCATTTCAGTCAGTTTTCAATTTTTGTTTAAATTTTTTGTTTTTCGGCGTTTTAATTTTAGTTTAGTTTTTATGTGCTTTTGTAATTTTCATTTGTTGCCATTTTTACTATTTACGTTTAACTGAATTTTATTTCAGTTTTAGTTGTTTTGTTTTTTTAATGAATTAATTATTTATTTCCCAGTGAGTAATTTAGTGCTTCAACTTAAACTTATTTTAGTTCATTTTCAAGGTAACATTTTTAATTTTCATTCAGTTTGTTTTTTATCTATTATTTACATTTTATTTCAGCTTTATTTCAAATAAAAATGTTTTAGTTTACGATAATAACCCTGACGGGGTCCAGTGTTGTTTGTCTCAAATCTCAATCTCAAATGTTTATTTATACAGTGCTTTCATCATATACTTTGTTTCAAAGCAGAAGTTTGGTTCCAAATGTTCTTGAAAACATCTTTTGTGTTCCACTGAAGAAAGAAAGAAGGTCACACAGGTTTGGAGTGACATGATCATTTTTGGCTGAATGATCTCTTTAATTGTAAAGGTCAGAGAAGAAGAAAAATTATGATAAACAATTAAATCATGACTGTTTGGGTTCAAGACATCTTGACAAACATTTAGAAATGTCATGAGTGCCTGCAGAATCATGAGGCTGTGAGGATGCTCATAAAGAAGAACACACACACACACACTCTCTCTCTC